GAAAGGAAGAAAGAAGAAATAAAGAGAACTGTGAAGAATAAAATCAACTGAAGCTGAACCAGAAAGAATGGGAAAATCAAAGTAGTTGGCTGAGGTCTCTTATATGCTGGGAGGATAATGTTCCAAGGAGAAAAAAACAAAGTAGATTTGGATGAACCTCTGAATCTCAGTTCTACCAAGAAGATACATATCTTTGTACTCCTGGGGCAGTGTTTGCCTCAGCAATTCTTTTCTTTCCATGGTTTGAAGATTGCAAAGATGGAAGGCTACAAAGGGAAATAATTTCTTAGAAAATGCTCTTCAGGTTATCCTGATCTGTACTAGGAAGATACCAGCAGAAGCAATATTTTTCTGCAGAATTTTGGTCATGTAGAGTTTGGCTGCTCAATAGGCAGCAGCCTGTCCTCTGCATGCTGCAGATTATGATTTTCACCAGAGAGTGGAGGAGCCTTTGTTTCAAGAACTCAGGAAGGAGGGGCTGGTGAATCTCCTGTAAACAGACCAACCAGCCACTTTCCCCTGCAGAGTATGACTGCAAAAACCTTGCCAGCATCCAGGAGAGGCTTGAATGGAAGCCTTTCCTTTGCCACCAAAATTTACAATATGCGGCCCACTTTCACTGGCACAGCTTGCCCTTCCCTAGGAACGCTTTTTGTGGTGTGTTGAATTTAAATTTGGCTGAGTCCTTGCAGTTTCTTTCCTGTGCTGACACTCCTTCAGCTGGAGCTGCAGGCACTGTACAACTCCACAGAGCTGCATACTGAATGGGCTTTGTTATTTAGACGTCAGAATGGGAGATAGCAAGCGAATATTCTGAATGCACATTGTAAGGAAAGCTAACATTTTGACAAAACTCAACTGTAATTTCAGAAAATGTTCACTTGATCCCCAGTATAAGCAGTTGCCTGATTAATATTATGAACTTTACATTTAGCGAAAGGGCATTGGAGGAGCTCCAAGTAGGCCAGCTTTCATTAGGCAGGAGTTCACTTCTCTTGTGCAGTGATCTGTTGAAGCAATTGTAACTGCATAGCATGGAAAGGCCATCATCTCCTATATAAACATTTTTACAAAGAGCATGTGGTGAAGAATTAGAAAGCTTAGAGCTATGTCCTTTCAAATAAAATCATTCACACCAACTGATTCACTACCAGTTTCACACCTAAGACGTAGGACATTTGAAAACCTTTAAAACCATTCTGTTTCCAACTCGGGGGGG